AAATAAGTGGAGTGAAAGCTGCCTCCTCCTTATCTACTGGTGCAGGAAATGAGTGAAAGTCAGTTGTGATGCCATATTCTCCACCAGCTCCACCCTACACCTCTTTATAATCTATTCATGCCCCTGTCCCTCAAAGCAGCTAAGGCAGATGTTTGTTCCCAGGAACATGTCAATATTCTGCAGGGATTTTTACCATCTTCGTTTATTTTTGAAAAAAAAAAGGAGCTTTGATATGGAAAGCAGGTGGATCAACATATGTGCTGCAGGGGAAGCCATGGCCTGGAGCCCAGCTTCAAGAAAAGCTACCTCTGCAAACACCTGCCCCCTGCTCAGGATTTCTCTCTCTCTTTCTCCCTAGACTGCGTAGATAATATTCTGGAGAGCCGCACATCTGTCTGGGGATCAGTGAAGCACTGATAAAAGGGAGGGGATGACAGCCTGTGTTGCTGTTGCACCAGTGAATTTGGGAAAGATGAATAAAGCAGAATGTCTTGTATATCATTTCATCCTTTAATGCCCAATGATTACTAATGGGGGTGCATTTCTCTGGAGCCCAGACTTCAAGCATCCCACTGTCCCTTTCTAATTTTAGACAAGCTGTGTTACTTCAGCTGCAGTATGAGCTGAGCTTCAAATGCTAAATATTCTCATTCCACCTGATTGCAACAAAGAAGGGGCCTCCAGCATATTATTGCTGATGGCCCCCTTCTCTGGGAAGTTGTGACAGAGAGATAGCCAACTATTTTCATGTCTTCACGTCCCCTCTCCATAATCTGCACGTTGAGACGGGGTTTGGAAATTCTTCCTTATAATCAGTTCCAGTAAGTCCGAAAGAGAATGGATGTGGCAGTGGCAATGGATGTCAGTGAGCATGTCACACACCATACCTGTTCACTCCCTTTGACCAAATGGAGCTGTCAGGTCTTCCAGATAAAGAGCAAACTCCTTGCTCTGAGGCTTTTTTGCAATCCTATTAGAAACATCACTTCTCTGGTGGATGGAAACTTCTTCCTAATTTCCAGGCTAAATGTATTCATGGCCAGGCTATAGCCATCTGCTCTTGTACCAGCATTGTCCATTAACAGCTCCCTTAGGAAGCTATGGAAGAAGGGGAGATGGGGAGATATGTGAAGCCAAATGCAAAATGGAAGACAGCGGTGGACATTGAGGAATCCCCTTGTCATGCCTGGGAGATCTTCCTTCAAGCTTGGGTGTGGGATTAGTATTTTGACATGATGGTAAAGTTCTGAGCAAGCCTGCTAGCCCTAACAGAGCGAAACATTGCTAAAACATATGTACTCTGGAGTGGCCTGGAACGACTGACATTTTACTGAATACATTCATTAAGGAGGCAAGGCCTTGGCTACTCAATTCATCTTTTCCTGAAAGCTGGCTTGGCTTCTGCCATTTCCAGTGATTGGCTGGGGTAAGAAAAGGACACTGCATCCTTGGTTCCACCTCTACTGGGGAGACAGGATGGGAGCAGGAGTTTGGCTACCAGGCTGGTGCACTTCATAAGTAGGGAGAAGTGTCACTCCGCCAGGGGTTTGTTGGTGAGGAGGGAAACTACTCCAACAACAACAGCTGGCATTGGCTGAGGTTCACCTGAGGCCAAAAAAAGCAATTGCAGCTAGAAGGACTTGGACTGCAGTGTTGGGAAAGGAGAAGCAAAGAGATCAGCTGTTGCAAACCCAACTTAAAAATCACTGTGGAGGCAGCAGGACAATCTGGACTAACGCAGAGGTGCCTATGGGAACTGGACTGAGTCCCTGGCTTGCTTCATTGCCTAGCCAAGTAGCCATTCCTAGTTCATGTTGTAACCTAGAGGAGGAGCCGAGGGGGTTCAAGTGGGTGAACTGTGATGCTGAACCTGGGAACTGGGACAGATGACTTAATCTGTATGTACGTGTTGGGGACTGACTCTATTCTACTTTCACCTACAAGAGCATGCATGCAGCTCCTAGTGTTACCTGCAGACTTGCCTCCCTCTCCACAGGTATTGTCTGAGTGTCCTAATTCCCTGAGAATTAAACGTTGCCCCTCTTCGTCAGCGAGTCAGAAGCCTCTTACTTAAAAGCATCTGACTTGGGATATGGGTTGCCTAGTGGCTCACCACCCTCCCTCCATTCCCTGGAGACATCAGAGACAGGGGGAAGATTATTTTTTTTAACTTATCTGCATTGACTTCATGTACTGTCATATTTTGATGCTGGTGCCTCTGCTGGTCTGTGCTGTGGTACACACTTATTCTTCTCCAGGTGGGTCTCTGACCTAGATTGCCGTTTCATCAGATTTCACTTAAAGGAGGCAAGCAACATAGTCTCACGGTAAATCAAGCAGCTAATATTATATCTCCAGAAGTCCTAGAATTGAGCCCCTTGTTCATTCCCTCTTTTGTCCACTGATTGTACCATTCCCCGATGTAATGGGGACTTGTTCAAGTCTAAGTTAATCTGGGCCCAATTCAGACCTGATGTAAATGAATGGCAATTCCACCAAGGTACTTAGAGCTCCATTTACTTACACCACGTCTAAATTTAGTCCCTTTATCAATACAGTGGCAGAAACAGCCCCACTAATTATGAGATGTTATTAAGGTTTTCTAAACCGCAATTGTCTTTGTTCAGGCATTTATTTTCCCAACAGGTACTGATGTTAAGATCATCTGGACTGTGTCCAAAATTTCACATCATTAAATATTCACTAAATTCCTCATCTTAATGAGGCAAAGAAGAAAAGCTATCAATGTGAGAAACTGCCATGTGGATGGGTCAAACACATCAAAGGGCAACATTGCCTTTGCTCTGTCTTGTTCTGTGGATAAGGCCTGCTCTGTTTTATACAGAAGATACTGTGATTCTGCAGTGAATTTGACAGCTAGGTCCCGTTAGAGCATTATTTTAAAGGACTTTTTGAAACAAAGATAGGAAGTATGGTATCGATTTTACAACCATGGTATTAACTATGCCTCGCCCACCCCGTCCTCCCTGCCTTAGGCCTGGACTGTTGCAGAGTAATCTCCATTATTAAATAAGATGGACAAGAGTCATTTGTGCTAGTGAAATGTTGTGCAAACCATATTGGCTGTGAAAGTTTCTCTCAATGGGAGGACAGATTCATCTTTGGGGTTTTGCTGGATGGTGGACCAGCAGCTTCATATTATAGCCAATGCCTCTGAGGAATCCTACCCAATGAAGGCCACTGAAAAGAGTTGGCATGGATGGTGTCTCCTAAGCTTTCTCACTCCCTGATTCACATGCATGAGTTATTTCTCAACACAACACGGTTGACTAACTGGCTCCATCATACTGCACTGTTTTATCCTGCAGTCTATGAGAGTTTAGGATAAAAAGCTCAGGCGTTCTGTGATGGCTTTAGAAGTCACTAAGTGCCATACTGGGTCACAGCAATGGTCCATCTAGCCCAGGATCTTGTCTCTGACAGTGGCAAGTAGTCAGTGCCATACAAGGATAATATATGAGTGAGGCATATCTAGACTGATCCATCTCCTGTCAGACTCTGGGTTTAGGGAGGTCAAAGAATACATTCCTGATTTGCTCTCTTTAATGGCTCCCAATGGAATGAATTTTTCCAATCTCTCTGCCTCTACAACCTCCTGTGGCAATGAGTTCCACAAATTAACTACATGCTTTATTTAAAAAGAAAAGAAAAGTAAAAGAAGAAAAAACTAGAATTAATCAATGCCTTAAGTATCTGGCCATTGACATTTACTGATAGGCCATCCTTCTGGGGCTTCTTAAAAGGAAACTTAGGGCTGAGGCCTGGTGGCAAATCTGGGTTCTAAAGGGACATTGCCCATTTGTGCGCAGACCACTATCTTTCCTGAGGGACTGGAGATTGAAATGGGAGCTGCTTTAGTATAGCACAGAGACCAGTTTTGTTCTTATGATGGCTGACTTCCTGTGGTCCAAATCACGAGCCTTGACATTCAGCTGATTTTGATTGGGAGGCAATGCTGATCCAATGGCATAACTTCTTACTAGAATGAAAGAAATTACCATAGAGTGGTTTTACTCTAGAGGGACTACAGTGTCTATGCCTCAGTCAACCCTAAGTCAGTATTTTGAAGCTACTAACAAAGGTTTTATATAGTGTGTGTGTGTATATAATATGTGTGTATTTATGTGTGTATGTATATATATGTACATATGTAGATACATTTATATATTTGAGAAATAATGTTTGCATAAAGATAAAACTTAGACAAAATTATGGGAATCAAAAGTATTTTGTGATGGATGTTGGTTTAAGTTTAATCTCCTTGAAGACAGCAGGATCTTCTTCTAAAGCAGATGGATCTAAGTGGTGAAATATGTCTCAGCTGAAATATTTTTGGATGCTTTAAGAGCTTGAACTTGATATATATTTTGTCTCTTTTCTTTCCCATGGGGAGAGATCCTAGCTGGTAATTAGGAACTGAGATAGATTTTGACAAGTATTACAAAGGTGAAAGGCACTAGCCCATAATAAACCACAAGGTTGCCCAAGCCCAATTTTTCAAATCTGCATGCATCTAAGAATATTTTAAATTTTGTATGTCTCACATTGGTCTGCAATTGTCAGCAATTAATTTTTCTGCCGCTCATTTCGTAAAGATAATAATTAAAGGCAAAGGATGAGTACATTTGTGGTGTCAGGATGGCCGAGTGGTCTAAGGCGCCAGACTTAAGATATAGCTGCCTTCCTGATCAGGTGAGTGTTCTGGTCTCTGTATGGAGGCGTGGGTTCAAATCCCACTTCTGACACAAATGTTTTTTCAGGGACCAGGACATCTCCCCCACTAGAATTGCAGACAGATCTAGGGGAGGCACCGCCATGCCTAGGGTCAGGGACAACCTAGTTAGGAAACTTTTGGAAGGGCTGGATGTGTTTAAATCAGTAGGCCCAGATACTCTTCTCCCAAGGGTGCTTAGGGAATTGGCAGGGGTCATAGTGGGGCCCCTGGCATGGCTCTATGAGTGCTCATGGGGCACTGGCCAGGTACCAGAGGATTGGAAAAGGGCCAATGTGGTCCCCATTTACAAGAAGGGGAGAAAAGAGGACCCTGGCAGTTATAGGCCAATCAGCCTTACCTCGTTCCTTGGGAAGACCTTTGAGAAAATTATCAAGGAGCACATCTGCAAGGGCCCAGCAGGGGAGGTAATGCTCAGGGGCAACCAACATGGGTTCATTGAGGGTAGGTCTTTCCTGACTAACCTGGTTTCTTTTTATGATCAGGTCACAAAGTCCCTGGATGAGGGTGTTGGGGTGGATGTTGTCTTTCTAGACTTTAAGAAGGCCTTTGACACGGTTTCCCACATTCTCTTAAAAAAACTTGGTGACTGCGGCATTGATACCTACACAGTCAGATGGGTGGCAAATTGGCTAGATGGTTGTACCCAGAGAGTTGTGGTGGATGGGTCATTTTCAACCTGGAGGGATGTGGGCAGTGGAGTCTCCCCAGGGCTTGGTCCTGGGGCCTCTAATGTTCAACATCTTTCTCAGAGATTTGGATGTGGGTGTGGAAAGCACGCTGTCCAGATTTGCTGGTGACACCAACTTGTGGGGCAAGGTGGGCACGCTGGAGGGGAGGGACAGAATCGAGCTAGATCTGGACAGGTTACAGAGGTGGGCGGATAAGAATAGGATGCAATTCAACACAGACAAGTGCAAGGTGCTGCATGTAGGGAGAAGGAACCAGCAACACAGCTATAGGCTGGGGAACACCCTTCTTGTCATCACAGTGGCAGAAAGGGATCTTGGAGTCATTGTTGACTCCAGGATGAACATGAGCTGCCAATGCAAGGAAGTGATCAGTAAGGCTTAGTGCACCTTATTGTGCATCTACAGATGCATCCCAAGCAGGTCCAGGGAGGTGATCCTTCCCCTCTATGCGGCACTGGTCAGGCCACAGTTGGAGTACTGCGTCCAGTTCTGGGTGCCGCACTTCAAGAGGGATGTGGCTAGCATCGAGAGGATCCAGAGAAGGGGCACTCGCATGGTCAAGGGGCAGCAGGGCAGGCCCTACGAGGAGAGGCTAAAGGGCCTGAACCTGTTCAGTCTCCACAAGAGAAGGCTGAGAGGGGATCTGGTGACTGTTTACAAACTCACCAGGGGGGACCAGCAGGAACTGGGGGAGGCTCTGTTCCACCGGGCACCACCTGGGGTTACTAGGAATAATGGCCACAAATTGTTAGAGATAAGGTTCAGGCTGGACATCAAGAAACATTACTTTACAGTTAGGGCTGCCAGGCTCTGGAATGGGCTCCCAAGGGAGGTGGTGCTCTCTCCTACCTTGGGGGTCTTCAAGAGGAGGCTGGACAGATATTTGGCTGGGGTGATATGACCCCGGCACCTGTTCCTTCCTGGGGCAGGGGGTCAGACTTGATGATCTGTTTACGTCCTTTCTGACCCTAAGTACTATGATACTATGATACTATAATGATTTTAAGAGGCCAACGGGTTAATATATTTAATAAAATGTTCCACCACAGTAAAAGAAATATTCTTATCTTTGAAAGCGACACATTCCATTACCCTGGAAATGACTGATTGGCCCTAATGAAGCTCCATGGGGACAATATACAGTAGCAATATGGTTGGTTTTGGTTACCTTAGCAACTCTCTCCATGGGAATTCAAAGGCTAAATTTATTTAAAATTGGAGATCTAAAAGCATCTGACAAAATTCCAACTGAGACACACTTTACCCACCTAAATTAACCTTGATTAAGAAGGATGATGTTGGTTTAATGGATGCAGTGTGTGATTCCAAAGGAAGGGCTTTGAATGTGTGCTGTTATTGTTTGAAGACAGGCATTCAGAGAGACCTGGAGGAGTGACTGAGCAAAGTTAATAGATGTGCTTGTGGCTTAATATGGAATTTTAAAAATTATTCAAACAAGACCTTTAATTCCTCTTATTCTTATTATTCGAATCATCATACCCATTGCTAGTCTGTGCAGTCCTGCATTGATATTGTTCTCCCTCACCTTTTTCCTGTTACTTGTCCCATTCATCTGCTTAATTTTCATTTCAGAGTAAATTTCAAAGAGGATGGGGCTGGACTGTTCCCAGTGGTGGCAGATGACAGAATGAGCAACAATGATCTCAAGTTGCAGCAAGGGAAGTTTAGGTTAGATATTAGGAAAAACTTTCTCATGAAGAAGGTAGTAAAGCATTGGAAAGGGCTACCCAGAGAAGTGGTGGAATATCCATCCTTGGAGATTTTTAAGACCCAGCTAGACAAAGCCTTGGCTGGGATGATCTAGTTTGGGCTGGTCCTGCTGTGAGCTGGGGGTTGGACTAGCTGTGACCTCCTGAGGTCCCTTCTAACCCTAATTTTCTATGATTTTAAAAACTGGGTCTACTTGCACATTTGTACAACTGGCCTTGACCCAAGGCACTGTCAATGATAAATATGAATAATAGGGCAGATGCTTTGTTGGTCATATCTACATTGACTTCAATGGTCTATGGTTGTGGCTACCTTGACTTTAGTTCAGCTACTGAAACCAGCTGGGCATTTATGCCATTTTTTTTAGTGTTGCACATTATTTAGGCAGGATAATATTAATTATGCTCTTCATTTTTTATTCCCTTGCCTTGAAGAGCTTGGAATTTATAGTTAAGATGACAAGTTAGCACATCTCTATTGCTTATTAATATTAGCACTTTTTAAATGATGTTTTTTGGTTTTAGGGTAGATAGACACCATCATCCTTGAGCACGAAATGGGAGTTTGTGTGTATGGAAAGTAATATAATAAATAATTTTATTAAATATATAATAATAATAATATATAATAAATATATAATAAATACTTTTAAAATGTTGAGCAGAGACCTCTGGACTGCCCCAGAAGCACTACAAACCTACTCTATAGTCAGAAGCAACAGTTAATTTTACTGCTGTAGGAGGTCACTGAGTCAAACACTCTGCTTGGATTCCAAATAAGGCTGGGTAATTTCATAGCTACTATGGCATTCACAGTTACGTAAGGCAAGATATCAAGGTTAATCAAATCTGATGCTTTCGGTAACCACCTTGCCATTAGCACTGGCCTCAACATAAAGTGCTGCAAGCTGCCACGTTATGGGAATGCCAGGTGTTGGTGCCTACCTACCTGTTAGACTGGAAAGCCCAATGATTCACTCTCATAAGGACAAGCTAAGTCTCGTCATCCCTTCTTGGTCATCCATGCCTTGAAATACATCATCGTTGTCCTCTGTTGAAGAAGCTAAGGGGTATGTATAAACACAAAACCCTTTGGAATGAGCAGCTCCACTTTGGGAACAGACAGAAGTAACAACTTTCCTCTGATCTGGTCCCAGAAAGCGGTCTACAGCTGTGACCAAACAGAAGTGCACAGCTGCAGACTGCTTTAAAAGGGCCTGATCCTGTGACAATATGAACCTTAATTGTATGAGGATTCAGATGAACATGCTCCAAAACAGATCTCATTCTGTACCTTGTGTCTGCAGGGCTCCCAGCCTGACATTGTTTTCAGAATGGGAGGGGGAAAGAGAGAACAGGGAATTTGGTTTGGGGGGTTTTCACCTCATGCTGGAAGGTGGGGCAGGTGGATTGGAGTCCCCCTGAGGTGGTGGAGGCTCCAATCAACCCACTCTACCTTCCAGCGCTGAGTAGGAAACCTGAAAAAAGAGCTCCCAATGCTCCCTTTCCCTGTTCCATTTTGAAAACAGTGTCCGGGCTGGTAGGGGAGAACAACGTTGCTACAGAGACCAGGATGCAGCAAGCAGCTGGAACCCCCAACTCCCAGACCCAACAATGAACTTCTCTTGAGTCTGGGGGATTGTTGCAATTCATAGCGCTTCCTGTAAAGTGCTATGACTTGCAACAGGTAGCTGCTCTTCTGTCTGTGCTCTTTGTTGCATTGTGACAATTAAGAATCCTTCACCATTCAGGTCCCTATTGGATTTAATTTTAACATCCTTTCCTTTTGCAGGCAGTATCTCCCATTGACATGGTAGCTTTTGTTTCTCACTGATGGCTCAGGGAACTTAACCATGAAATAAGGGTCTGCTAGGAAGCAAAGCAAGGGGAAGATGATAGAGTGAGGGTTATTCAAATTAAATGCCCACCTTCATGGCTCAGCAGCAACAGGGAAGGCCTCTCTCAGAGCTGTGGTGAACAAAGTTCTATGCAGATTACTGAGACATTGGTGCTGCCCCTGAGATAGTCCTGCTCTTTATGAGGAGAACGAGCCATAACTTTTGTGAGAATCCTCTTCAGCTCCCCCCACCAACTACAACAGCCCTCCTGCCATCTAAGAGGAGCCTCAGGAACTGTCATCTTTGCCTGCAACCCCAACATTATGGTTTATGATGAACCGTTGGCCCCATTGTAATAACCATTGGCTGTTAAAATTCCAAGACGCTCACTTAAGTGGATCAGGAAGCCAGGAAGTTGAAATCAGAGAGAAAAAGGGAGAGAAGTTAGGACTTTCAATCTCTGCTATGGCCCCAGGTGCCAAAATCAAGCAAGAGCATGGAAAAGACCTATGTGTTGTGACATGGGTGGTATTTTGTGTACATAACAGCATTTCTATAAGCACAGGTTCCAAATAACCATAGAAAGATTTGGTTGCCTCTGTAACAGAACTACTACTAACCATTAAAGTAATACAGCAGGTCACTTAATCTCTCAGGGCCTTAATCTCAATGGCATATGTCAATACATTTGTTATGGCACTCTTGGGAGAACTCCAACTCTGTATGTTCCATAACCAGAAATGAAGCAGTGAA